GATTGGAGAGGGCTGGTGTGCGTTTACTGCTTTACATATCTGCACCAGTGAGGAGGCGACGATATTTTTCTTCTGTTATTTTATTATTTCTTCTGAGGGTTTTTAAGTGCTGCTTATAGCAGTAAGAAGGCTTTGAAGGAGTAGAGCTATAATCTTGAGACCCAGCTAAAGTAGAAGCAGCAACGCCTATAAAAAGAAAAAGAAGAAATAATAAATATATAAAAGCACAAGATGCTGCAGACGCTTTATTGTGTATCTAGAGAATCATATCCACTCTATTTATACACACAACGAAGAACAATACACCTCAAACATAACACAAAAATATTCATTTACCTACATACGCTGCATATACACCCGAATGTGCAATTCAGCGATAGACAGACGCCAAGACAGAGATACATATACAGAGATACGGAGAGAGGTACCTAGATTAATAGAAAGATAGCTGTGCAGAAATAAATAAATAAATAAATAAATAAATAAATAAGGAGGCAATGAGACAAACAGCAGCAAACAAAGAAAGAAAACAAAGGCCGCTTAGAAGGAGACCCGAAGACATCAACCGCAAAAGACAAATAAAATAAACCCCCCATGCAAATATCCGCAATAATAATGTAAAGACACCTGAAGTGTATCACCGCAAACATTTATTTAAAGCCCTTCATCGACTGTTTACATTAAATACAATTAAAAAGAAGAAATTATTTATTACTTGTATGCATACAACAGTGGAGTTGGGTTGAAAGAAATAGAAGTACGCAAAAAATAAATATATCTGCATATTCCTGTATTAAACTCATTGGGGTGTATATGAAGCTGCTTCATTCAACTTGAGCTGCCGATACACCCGAGATGTGGAAGCAAGAAAGTAAAAGAAACAAATGCAAAAATGCAGATGCATGCACTGTACGAACCATCAAAATGCGGGAAAGTAATCACACTACTCAATGAAAACAATAGAACAAACAAATAAAACAGATTTGCTTCTTCATTTTCACATATTTAGGTGTATATACACTTGAATACTCACCTAGACCAAAAGCTGCAGTGCAGTAAAGCCGCATCCATCGCACTTTATCTGCAGAAAGTTTCGGAAACATCTTCCAGAGGAATCCTTGCGACATAAATATCATTTTTACAACTATTTGTGTTATGGATTCTACAAGGAAGAAGAGAAAAAGACGAAAAAAAGAAAAAGAATCAGACGTAGCCGACGGCTCGCCGTCCAGTTGGAGGAATTTGAGGTGTATATACACCGAATAAACCGAAGAAATGAATTAAATCATTCAATTTGATTTATATTTTTCATTTAATTCAACTTTTTTTCCCTTGAAGTCTTTCTGGGGCGTCTGAACAGTCAAACAAAATACTTCGGTTGCCGCTGCATGCAGCAGTGGCTTGAAGTTGTATGTTTGAGTTTTCTTCTACGTTTTTAGATTTTATTTGTTTATTTTTCAGTATATTATTTATTTTAATTATTTTCAATAATATTTACTACAAATTAAAAGAAAACAGTTGGTTGATTCACCCCAAACCACTGCATGCGGTAGCAGCTGCTACTAGCAGCAGACAGATATCTTCTTCTGCAGTTTGAGTTGCAGAATAAAAATAGACATTTGTATATTTACTCCCTCTTCTTTTGTTTACTTTTATCGCCTTCTCTTCATAAATTTTAAATGCATGCACAACTACTCTATATCATATATTCCACTGGCTGTTATAACGTAAGCAGCATTACCTATGAAAGGTTTTATGTGTCTAGACACCGCAGCATTGAATACTGCAGAAGTATTAGTAATACTTTACGGGTTCTCATCTCACTAAACAACTCAACTAAATAAATGCATTTTATTTGCACGCTTTCTTAGCTGCCTATACACCCCACGGAAGGAGGTTCTTGTATGTAATGCAGGCATTTAGCTGCCTGTACACCCTAAGCAAGGAGGTCCTTATATTGCATGCATTTCTTCTCTCTCTCTCTCTCTCTCTCTCTATATATATATATATATATATCTGAAGCTGCATCAAACTGACTGCTAATTTCAGGTGTATGTGCAGCTACTGCTCTGTGTTTGCTGCTGCATGCACTGTCTATTTGTTATTTTTAGGAAGAGACAACGAGCAAAAGAGAAAAAAAAACAAAAATAATATATATCTCCTTCATTCACAAGCCCCTCCTCAACCGAAATGCTTGAAAGAAAGAATAAAGACAGATACGCCTACGCTGGAGTTACCTACGCACCTTCATGCATGCTGCTGCTGCTGCAGCGGCAACAACAGCTGGAGCAGCAGAAGCAGCAACAGGTGCAGCAGCAACTGCAGCAGCAGCAACTGCAACAGCAACAGCTGCAGCTGCAACAGCAGCTGCTTCTGCGGAACTATATATAACATTGCATGCGTGTTGTGCATGCATATAGCAGATGTTTTGGGGTGTATGTATATACACAATAATAATAATGAATAATAATAATAATAATAATAATAATACTATTAATACTACAACTAATAACAACAGATAATACTATATTATATGCTTCAACTGTTTGCATGCACAACAAGAAAACGTATCTGAGAGCTGTCAATAGAAGCTAAAGCAATAGACCTATTTACAAGTACACCCCACATATATGAACAAAACCAAAGGTCTGTATAAGCATTAGGATAATAATTCCGAATTACTATCGGATGAGGCACAGGCAGCAAACCTACCATTGTTGTCTTCTGTAAAAAACATAAAACTTCGCTCTGAGCTGTTAAACCCTTCTCTGTGCATTCCCGCTCAACCTACAAACAAAACAATATATATAAATATATTAATATCAATTAATTTATAAACAAATAAGTATAGAAACAATTTATAAACAACTATATATATATATATATATATATACATGTACGTGAGGCTTATGCTTTGTACTCTTCGTTATATGCAAATATAGATATATATGTATATAGGGTTTGTGTTTTATATAAATATATTATACATGTACTATATAATATATATTTATATTTATATTCATTTATATGCTGTATACTGGAGATATACGATAGAGCAAGGAGAGGCAACTACAAGAAGAAGAGACAGAAAAAAGAAGAGACAGACAGAGACAAAGAAAGACAAAGAGAGACAGAGAGATAAAAAGAAAAACAAATAAAAAAGAAGAGACAGACAGAAGGAGACAGAGAAAAACAAACAAAAAAGAAGAGACAGACAGAAGGAGACAGAGAAAAACAAAGACAAACAAAAAACAAGAAGAGACAGACGCAACCAACTCCTACTGGTAGCAGCAGCAACTGCAGCAGAAGCAAAATCAGCAGCAGTAGCAAAAAGAGCAGCAGCAGCATCACCAGCAGCAGCAAAATAGCGCCAGCAACAGCAGCAACAACCTCATCAGCATCAGCATCAGACCACAAGATAGCTGCAGAAGCAACAGCAGCAGCAGCTACAGCAGCAGCAGCAGCAGCAGCAGCAGCAAGAAGACGTACAAGAGGCAGCAGGTGTTGAATAAGTCTGAGAGGTGTTCTGAGCGGCCCTCTGCTTTTTATCTTCCACTCATCAAACCACTCTTGTGAAGGCACCCAATCTTGCTCTTCTCCTTCCTGCTGCTGCTGCTGCTGCTGCTGCTGCTGCTGCTGCTGCTGCTGCTGGGGGCTGCTGGTGCTGGTGCTGCTGCTGCCGTTGGTGATACGCTCTGCATCAGCGTGAGGGCTTGCAGAGTCTTCGTTTGTATTGTCTTTGCTTGTAGTACATTCATTAAGAGTTAAAGAATTCAACGCTAAAAATATATCTTTCTCTCGCAATATTGAATACACCAAACGCTGATTGCCCTGCAAACACAAACAACTAGCTAGCTATTTATCTAACTGGCTAGCTACGAGCTAGCTAGCTATCATGTAGCTAGCTAGCTAGCTATTTATCTAACTGGCTAGCTACGAGCTAGCTAGCTAGCTATTTATCTAACTGGCTAGCTACGAGCTAGCTAGCTATCATGTAGCTAGCTACCAGCTAGCTAGCTATCAGGTAGCTAGCAATCAGGTAGCTTGCTAAACCCTAAACCCTCGTGAAACCGTCTAAACCCTAACCCCTTTCTAAGCCCTAAACCCTAAACCCTAAACCCTAAACCCTAAACCCTAAACCCTAAACCCTAATTGCTGACCTCATATTGGTATTGGAGTATATTATTGAATGTATCGACAAGAAAAAGAACATCCTGACAATGAAAAGGAGCTTTAAATAACCAAGAGGGTTTGCTGATTCTGTCTAGAAGCTGCAGCAAACGAACGCAGCTCTCCCAGTCAAAACTTTTAATAAAAGGAGATATATTACAAAGAGAAGTCAGCAAACTGTTTATTAATGCTGGCGTATTGCCGGGTCCCTGAGCAGAAACCACCACAATAACAACCCTAAACCCTAAACCCTAAACCCTAAACATTAAACCCTAAACCCCAGAAAATAAACAGGAAAAGGGTTTATTTAAGCGAGCGAATTCGTAGAGTTCTATACACCTAAATAAACCCTAATTGCAAACCCTAAGTCATAAACTCGCACCTATACAGACAACCTAAACCCTAAACCCTAATCTGATCTAAACCCTAAACCCTAAACGGTAGAACAGAAGAAAGATGCACGCCAGGCATTTCAAAGTGCATACTGAGGGTTTAGGGTTTATTAGGGTTTATCAGGGTTTAGGATACATTATTAGGGTTTATTAGAGTTTAGGGTATATTAGGGTTTAGGGTATATTAGGGTTTAGGGTTTAGGGTTTACAACAACTGCATCCATAACAACTCGATGAATAACTAAACAAAACAAATCTGCATGCGAGCCGCTGAAGAGAGGAAGCTGCAGAGGAAATTTATCTGTAAAGGGTTCGTTAAGGCGGACAGCGAAGTCCCTCTCTGCAAACCACAAACCCTAAACCCTAAACCCTAAACCCTAATCGATGAATTAATCAGCTGCACCCGCACCACCAACACCAGCAACAGCAGCAGTATCAGTATCAGCAGCAGCAACAGCAGCAGACCGCAAGAAAGGTGTAGGATGATGAAGGAGCAGCAGCAACAGCAGCAGCACCAGCAACAGCACCAGCAACAGCAGCAACAGCAGCAGCACCAGCAGCAGCAACAGCAGCAGCAGCAGCAGCAGCAGCAGCAGCAGCAGACCGCAAGAAAGGTGAAGTAAAATGAAGGAGCAGGTGTGGAGGAGGCCAACGCTGCAGCTTCCGGGCGGTTTATTATTTTGTTTATTTACTGCTGCGCTGCTCTCTTGCAGCAAACACAATAAACAAACTAATAACTCATTTGTATTCGTCTCCACGCATAAATAATGCAAAAAATCCTATACACAAACCACAAACCCTAAACCCTAAACCCTAAACCCTAAACCCTTAACCACAAACCCTAAACACTAGACGACAAATCCTAAACCACAAACCATAAACCCTAAACCCTAAATCGCAAACTCTGAATCCTGTATCGCAAGCTCGAAGGTTTAAATCGTAAACCTCAGACCCTAAACCCTAAACCCTAAACCCTAAACCCTAAACCCTAGAAACGGACAGCGTTGGTGGTGAGGAGATGCCAGAAGAGAATGAGAAGCTCCTGATGGAAAGGCACCTGAAAAAAAAGCAGCAGATACACCCGAGCTGTCTGTACACCTCAAATGATGCTGAACCCTCAGCATCAACAGCAACAATAGCAGCAGCAATAACAGCAGCAACAGCAGCAATCCGTATCACCAGCAGCAACTGCAGAAACAACAGAAACAGCAGCAGCACCAGC